CTCACGCTTACAGCATCAGGGTGAGTCATTTGATACTTTTCTCACAGACCTCAAGATCAAAGCTCAGTCCTGCAATTTTGGTGATCTCAGAGACTCTATGATACGAGATCAAATAGTGTTTGGAACTAATGAGAAGAAGCTCCGAGAGAAACTGTTGAGAGAAACAGAACTAACGCTGGAAAGTGCTATAAAGATAAGTCAAGCCAGTGAGCTAGCACGACAACATGTACTGACGTTTAGAGAGCCTGTTCAAGGAGCAGCGCAACAGGAAAATGAGGCAGTGAATGCAGTGTCGATTAAAAGAAAGCCATGGAGTAAATTCAAAAACAACGACAACAAAAACAGAACGTGTGACAATGAAATGTTCACTTGCAAGAGATGTGGAGAGAAACACAGACCAAAACAATGTCCCGCATATGGAAAAAAATGTGCAAAATGTAAAGGACAAAACCATTATGCAAAAATGTGTCTCTCCAAAACAAGGGACAAAAAGTACACACTGTGCAGGAAGACACAGATGACAGTGATGATCTAAGTGAAACATTTTTCATTAAGATGGTGTCACATGAAGAAGATGTCAATGCACAGTCTTCAAGACATAACACTGGCCAAAGTGTTAGTTCAGTCACAGATGATAAATGGACTGCTCCACTGTTAGTCAATGGGACATTGGTAACATTTAAAATTGACACAGGGGCCAAAGCTAACTTGATCAACGAGAAGGATTTCAAGGCACTGACTGAGAAGCCTAGAAGATTTACAGAGAAAGTCACGCCGCTGAGGGCCTACAATAACCAGCCAATACAAACAAAAGGAGGATGCAGACTTAAAGTGACAGCAAAAGGCAAACAGCATAACATTTTGTTCACCATCGTGCCTGATGGACACGAGTCACTTTTAGGAGATAAAACATCTGAGGACTTGGGACTAGTAAAGAGGATCTATCAGATTAATACTGACGCTATGAAAGAAGCCAAACAAGGCAAGAGACTGGAACACCAAGGGCATGAAGGAAGTTCAGACATTATCAGTAAATTTCCTTCAGTCTTCAAAGGACATGGAACATTGCCTTACACCTACAAAATCCAGCTCAAGGATGATGCCGTGCCTGTGGTGCATGCCCCAAGGAGAGTGCCTGCTCCATTACGGACAAGTTTGAAAAAGAGCTTGAAAGAATGACTCAAATGGGTGTCATTGAACGAGTGGAAGAGCCCACAGACTGGGTGAACTCTATCACTTGTGTCAAGAAAAAGAATACAGGTGCCTTAAGAGTCTGCCTTGATCCCAAAGATCTAAATGAAAATATTAAAAGAGAGCATTATCAGATCCCTAAGAGAGAGGAAATAATGAGTGAAATGGCAGGAGCTAAGTTTTTTAGCAAACTGGATGCATCACATGGATTTTGGCAGCTGAGGCTAGACCCAGAAAGCAGCAGGTACACTACCTTTAACACGCCATTTGGGCGTTACTGTTTCCTGAGGCTCCCATTTGGAATTAAATCAGCACCAGAGATCTTCCACAGGGCAATGGAGTCCCTGATCGAAGGGCTGGAAGGCACCAGAGTCTACATAGATGACCTCGTAGTCTGGGGAAATACAAGGCAACAACATGATGAAAGGCTGGAGAAACTTTTGTGGAGAGTTAACAAGAATGGACTTAAACTGAATAGAGACAAGTGCCTCTTTGGTGTTTCAGAGATGACCTTCCTGGGAGATAAGGTTACAAGTGAAGGGGTGGAACCTGATCAGTCAAAGGTACAAGCCATATTGGATATGCCAGCACCCACTGACAAAAAAGGTGTCTTGCGAGCAATGGGGATGATCAACTTTCTGGGTAAGTTCATTCCTAATCTTACCTCCAAGACAGCATGCCTAAGGGAGCTGCTACAGCACAACACAGTGTTCGAGTGGACGGCCCGGCATGAGAAAGAGTGGAAAAAATTGAAGGAAACTGTAACTACAGAGCCGGTCTTGACATTCTTTGATCCATCAAAGCCAACAAAAATTTCAACAGATGCCTCAAAAGATGGCTTGGGAGCAGTTCTGCTCCAAAGGAACAAATACAAGTGGCAACCTGTAGCATATGCGTCCAGATCAATGACAGAAACTGAACAACGCTATGCTCAAATTGAAAAAGAGACTTTGGGCTTAGTGTTTGGGTGTGGAAAATTTCACAGCTATGTATATGGATTACCAACCTTTACAGCAGAGACTGATCACAAACCTCTCATCTCGATCAGAAAAAAGAACCTCAACGACATGTCACCCAGAATTCAGCGCATGATGATGGTGTTGCAGCGCTATGATTTTGAGCTGATCTACACGCCTGGGAAATATATCGTACTTGCGGATGCTTTATCCCGAGCGCCAGCACCAAGTGGTGACAGGTTAGTCAGCACTACAGCCGAGGAGGCTGAAACACATGTAAACATGGTAACTGCCTCACTCCCAGCATCAGATGTCATGTTGCAGCAAATTGTACAGGAGACGACAAAAGATCCAGTGCTGCAGAAAGTATCCCACCTTATACAGAATGGGTGGTCAAAAGGAGTCTGTCCAGGGTTCTACTCTGTGCGAGCTGATTTATGCATGGCTAATGGGCTGGTGCTGAGACAAAACCAGATTGTCATACCGCAATCCATGCGGAAAGACATGCTTCAGCGTATCCATGAAGGACATCTTGGAGTGGAGAAATGTAAAAGGAGAGCGAGAGAAGCAGTTTACTGGCCAGGCATCAACAGGGATATTGAAGAGATGATACAGAAATGTGAAACATGTCTCAAACATCACTACAAACAAACAAAAGAGCCAATGCTGGCAGCAGACCTACCCACTGCACCATGGCAAAAGGTAGGCACGGATTTATTTCATCTGGATGGCAAGGACTATGTTTTGGTGATTGACTACTATTCTAATTATCCAGAAGTGGCACAGCTTTCCAGTACATCAGCACAGTCAGTCATCACACACATGAAGGGCTTTTTTGCCAGACATGGAATTCCACAGTGTGTCATCAGTGACAATGGTCCACAATATGACTGTAGAGAATTTAGTGACTTTGCAAAACAATATGGATTTCAACATATCACCTCTAGTCCCTTGTATCCCCAAGCGAATGGACAGGCAGAAAAAGGAGTCCAAATAGTAAAGAGATTGTTCAAAAAAGCAAGAGACAGTAAGACCGACCCTTACCTGGCTCTGCTAAGCTACAGAGCTTCATCCCTGGAGTGTGGGGCATCACCTGCTGAGCTACTCATGCATCGCAAGCTCCGCACCACACTTCCACACATTTCCAAGGAAAATGACAATGCACATGACAACAAGCTGACCGACAAAAGAATGAAACTCAAGCACAGACAGAAAGGGAACTATGACAAAACTGCAAGGCGTCTGGAACCGCTTCAGGAAAGAGATGTTGTGAGGATTGCAGGTCCAGATTTCTGGGACAAAAAAGCAACAGTTCTCAGCGAAGTAGGGCCCAGATCGTTTGCTGTTCAGACAGAGAATGGACAAGTGTTAAGAAGAAACCGGAGAAGTCTGTTAAAGACACAGGATGTTAAACATCAGGACACAGAGACTGGAACTGAACAACGAGGTGCTAACCCTGTTGAGCACCACAGTGAGCCTCCTTCAACTTCCCCAATGTCTGAGATACTGAGAAGGTCTACCAGACCTAAGAAACCTACAGAGAGGCTCATAGAACAAGTGTGAACTGTTGTGGTAAAGAATTGTTAAAAAATAATAATAATAAATCACAAGTAAACAACGGATAATAATTCATTTAGAATAGTAATTGTTCACACTTAATTGATACCTGCTGAGTTATGTGTTATTGACTGTTCAAGCTGTCAAAGGTGAAGAGTTCTAATGTGCTTGAGGGCTGTATGGGATTCATTTGGTTCATTCTGGAAGATGTAAGGTATACATTTGGATTTATTTTGTTTGACTTGTGCTACAATTTTTGGTTATATATAAAAAAAGAAAGAATACTACTGAATGTAGCTTGTTGCACAATTTATAACATGTTGAATGTTAGACAAGAATGTTCAGATGTTACCGAGTAACAGTTCTCTTTGGAATTGTGCTTATTATAACACCAACCTGTTTGGAAAGGGGATGTAATGATAGTTGCTATTGTTGAAGCTACCCACAGGGGGCGCTCTGGGATCAATAAGATATACAGAGTAGAAGAAGAAGTTATTGTGGTAGAAAGAATAATAATAAACAGCTAGCTGAAGCTAGCACCAGGAGCAATTCTTGATGTTTTATTCATAGAGGAATAAGAACATTACACGTGTGGTCGCTGGATTGGGACAGAGCTGTACATACACTCTTACAGACTGGAGGAGCCAGGAATCAAACCATTAACCATCAGATCAGCAGGTGACCTGCTCTACTGCCTAAACTGCAGCCACTCAGAGGTAAGCATGAGTAAATCGTCACTAGGTTTTGGATAAAGTGTACACTCACAAACCTGTCAAATCTGCATTTGAAACATTGGCTACTATAGCAGTATAGTATTGCAACGTGGCATTTGGCTCTTCTAACTAAAATAGGAAAACAGGAACATAAATTGTGCCATCTATGCCAGGCCTGGCCCATATCTGGATGAAATACGTCTTATCATACCAGAAGTCAACCAGCAGTACTCGCTTGATACCAGATGCAGGCCAGACATGCTTGCTATGTGGGTATAAGTTACATATACTGTATATAACTACCAGCTCTCTCCAGCTGTGTCGATCTATATTATCTTTTTTGACCCCAAGTGTTTATTTCCAGAGAAAAGAAACAGCAGACTATGCTAATAGAATGTGATGTTACAACACTAGTCAAATATTAATGCATAATATTTGTTTATGACATAATTCTTTGTTATGGAAATTTTTTTTTTAAATAATCATGAACATTAGGAGTAGTGATTTTAGAACTTTATGTATATAATTTGTCATTTTTTACTGATGTAGGCCAAAAATAAATACTTAGTACCATTTAATTTAGTTTAAAGGCTTATTTGCAAGATGCAGGAACCTAAAACATTAAAAGCTAAAAATTTATTTTGCATGAAACGGGAATTAAAACGTGGTGATAGAGCCAGGTGCAGATGCAAGTCAGATGTTAATTTGGCTGTAGGCTATGGCACTTGGCCACAGCTGGAGCTAGTTGACACAACTTGGTCAGGAGCAATAGGATTGACGGAGTGTGTTTAAATGAACCTGACAAATGTCACAGATGAAATATTAACTGTTTATTTCCTGGTTTGATGTCTACTACACATCTGTTTGACCGTTACCAGTTAATCTGTGACACCAGTTAATCTGGAACACTGGCAGATGAGTTTGCACTCTTCCGTAAGAGTAATATTCCAGCGTGAAAAGTAAAGACAGCAGACAGTGTGAGGAGAGGTTCTGGTTCGGTTGTTGTGGGTAATCACTCAAGGTCAGGTAAGGTTCGTTCATTTAAATTCGATTCTAAGCTTGACAAAAGTCTGATAAAACCAATGCCTGCAATTACTGTCATGAAAGGTCCCTGGAAGGCAGAATTTCCAAGGTTGCAGGCCAAAACCACAAGAATTACATCTTATATTAAACCGGCTGCAGCCTCTGCACCTGTTACATGAGTTACATGTGCAAAATGCCTGATGATGTTTTGTTAATTCCTGCTGTTTGGGATGCTATAGTCCTTTTATTAGGGATGTTTTTGTTTTCTTGGTGGGAAGTGGGGATAAAGTCCCAGTTTAAATTCTGAGTGATTCAGGAGACTATGACTCCTATATAGTGAACCTGTATAGTGTGCTGCCCTTCTCAAAGGAGTCTGACACAGGTGACTGCCTCCTCAGTAGTGGGAGGGGTTTTACCACCCTCCCTGTTCCTTTGCATAAGCTCATCAAACCATTAAGCTAGCACCATTACAACTTATTCTTCTGATATTGGAACCTTTTGAACATCTTGTTCTATACTGTGTGGGTCCTTTGCTGCCCTCAACATCTGGAAATAAGTATCTTCTTGCAGTGATGTGTCAAAGTACCAAAATTCCTGCTGGATATCCACTGAGGTCAGTGACGAGCAAGGCATTGGTGACAGCTCTAACTCAGTTTGTTTCGGTGTGAGTGGTCAGAGTTCAAATTTTTCATCTCACATGTTCGCCGAAGTTTTGTAAACCCTGCACATAAACCATAATTGGTCATCAAGATACCATGCACAAAGACAGGGTGCTCTGGAAAGGTTTCCCCAGATGCTAAAGTCTCTTTAGCGTACCTATTGTATAAAGCTTAGTAGAGACTGGGAAGAGGGTCTTCCATGGCTGATTTTGGCTGAAAGAAAACATAGGTTTCAGCCCTAATGAGCTTGGGTTTTGACATAGTGTGCGTCGGCCCTTGGCTGTAATAAAAAATAAAGGGGTTTATTCCGAGCCACCTAAAAAACTTGGTTGAGTTTGTAAATGGATTTAGACTTTCATTGCTTGTAGCTGGGATTGCCAGTTGTCAGTTTTGTTGTGGGGACCAAGTTTCAGCCTTTTTGCCAGTTGTGGCATCTCTGTATCGTCCCCCATTTACAGGCCCTCACAGGTCCTTAATGAGAAACTTTTGATCTAAATTACTTTCAACCCTAAAATGAAAAAAGTTGGTTCAGCGCTGTCATGTAAACTTACTCAAACCGTATTATGCAAGTGACCAAAATTCTAGTCGGTGTGTTAAGGACACCGTTCACCCTTGTTTGTTTCTTCACTTCCGTAATTTTCTGAAATTGATGAAATACCAGAGCCTGATGACAGTTTGGTCATTTGAAAAAATTTCAGTCTCTTTGTATTCTGGATAAATTCCTGTCTCATTTGCCGGTAGATAAATGCAATGAGCTGTCAGAACTGATTTTGTATTGCTGTTTGTTTGGTGAGGTTCCTACTTGCACGGACTTGATTGATCATGATACATGATACATGATGCAAATGCATTTTCTTTCCATCAACGAACTATTAATTGAGCAGATTTGACACGGTTTCTTGAGCTAGTTCAAAACTTGCCCCTCCCTCTGCTATCAGTGTACCATATTTAGTTCCAAATAATTAATGAAGTAATTATGAAGTAGAATCAAGTAATCTAGAGGTGGTTGTAGAAGTAGGCTGAGTGTAAAGTCTCCCAGTTCATCAGGGCCAGAGTTGGAGATCTGTGACTCTCTGAAGGTCTAACAATATCAGAGAGAAAACAGCACTTTGGACTCTCCAGGTTATCTTTTCAGCAAATAATGCTGTGGCAATGTTGTGGAGGATTGTGGAGGCTCAAAGCATGTGCATGATGATAAGAGGTGTAGGGGTCATTCACTCTATTGGTCTTGCTGCAAACACCCAGGTAATACAACACTTACCTTTCTACTGTTAAACTGGTTCTAAAAGTAATGCAGGTTCAGGTGAATTTCTTTTTGTAGTTTTCTGTCTTGAGAACTTGTTTACATATATTATCAGACTGTTTCGATGCTTTGTTGTTTATCAACCTCTGACTCAACCTGGCTGTCACTGCACACATGTGCTTTAGTGAGTCATAGTGGTTTTAATGATTTACTATGAGTTACTAAATTGTGTTTAACATAATAATAATGGATTGGATTTATATAGCGCTTTTCAAGGCACCCAAAGCGCTTTACAATGCCACTATTCATTCAGACTGACAGAAGTGAGGCTGCCATATCGCGCCATCGGCCCCTCTGGCCAACACCAGTAGGCGGTAGGGTAAAGTGTCTTGTCCAAGATCGAACCGGCGACCTTCCGGTTACAGGTGCTGTTAAAACTGTTCAATGTTTTGCAAAAAGACTGATTTATTAAAAAAGCTTAGGACACTGAGAATGTGGTTCGGAGAATGGGAAGTGTTTTACCATTTCAGATAAACCGCAGAGGCATGACCAAGGAGTATTTGGAGTAAATTATTTCAGTAATTCATATTAATTGCAATTTAATGTAAATAAATTTAAAAAAAGTCTAACATTGCTCCTAATGGGACTATGATAATTGCAATTATGAGTGTTTATTAAATAGCATTTATAGGAGAAGAGTCTGGAGTGGGTGAATTGCTTGAAAGTGTGAGTGCAGTGCCTTTGCCAGTGTCCAACTTCTTGGTGAATATCTCAAAAAAGTTGACTTTTTATCTATACGTAACCTTTCCTGGTGGGGGAAATGTTTTTTCACTCATCCAAGTGATTTCTCAGTCTAAGCTGACTGCATGCTTCCACTTGTTGAACAGTACTTTTGCATAATGACTGAAATTTCAATCATTATGCAAATTTGAAAATGCTACGTCCTGATGAAGAGAATCAACTTTTTAGAGATTTCCTTAACTGAAGGGCTGAGCATGCATCTAGACTTTTTGGTGAATATGCTTTGAGATCAGGTCAGCAATATGAGAATGCTTTGGACTGTTGAATGATTTTCTTACCAGTTAAATTTCTTTTTAGGTTTATGATTTCCTCCTTATAGTACTGTTTGCTGACTTAATCTTATCAGTTCTGTCTGTGCCATAGCTAATTATTCTATTTCAAGTAGAGTTGCCTGCATTGGTGATATGAAGTCCTTCATAAGATGCGTGATAGAGAAATTCTACTTCTCTGAAATATTCCCATATTGAACAACTGTAAAACCAGTTGTTCAATGTCCGTCATTTACAATATTACATTCACAATAATATATTTTTGATTGGATCAACCTTTTCTTCTGTACTGCTTGTGTTTAGTGTAACACATTTTAACACATTTCTTAATCTGAGAGTCACATTCAAACAGTGCAAATGTGCACTCGCGTTGTTTTTGGCACTCGCTTTCTGGTTGGTTCAGTAGCATTGAGTCTTAAATACAGGTTTCATTCTGGATGCAGCACTCAAATTTTCAAGCAAGAATTCTGATAAGATTTGATTTTAAATACAGATTCCTATAGTACAGTGTTAGACTTTTTGTCTCCACTTTGTGGTAACATATTGGCGTCACTGTTGCCAGCGTCATACGGTGACGCCATGTTACGATATCTTACCGTTCTGCAGGATGATACAGTTTTTTGCTCTTGTGGTATAATACTCTTGGACAAATTATGGTAACGCACTGTAGCTTTTTTTTTATGTCGTTATGTCGTAAATTACGTCAACAAAGTAACATCATACAGCGATTAAGAAATTGGTATACTACCGTTTATTCATGGTATGTCACTGTAAGCCCACTGCAAGGTAATTAACTGCAACATATTTACCAGTAACTTACCGTTAACACGCATCATCAGTACCAAAAATATTCATCTCTGTTAGAGGATACCGTGTTCCTACAGGCGGTCATTTACTGTTGAGCAGGTTGTAATTTACCGTAATTTCAGGAAACAGTAACATACTGTAAGAGACTGGAGGGTTCCAAAAAAAATTGTATTGTATGAAAAAAAAAGTATCATTTATTCATTTATATGTATTTTTATATAAAAACACACACACACACACACACACACACACACACACACACATATATATATATATGTATATATATATATATATACACACACACACACACAAAATATAATTCATGTGCTTCACACCACTTTTTCATTTCTGTTCTGATTTTCCTCTGCAGAAATACACATTTCCAAAGTCAAAAACTGAAAAGAACTGAAAACATATTTTCATTGAGGAAGCACTTGTTTTTACTAAACTATGTAATACATGTATTTTCTCAGATGGTTGTACAAACAATAACGATATTATGTCATATCCATATCATGCCAGACAACATATACTCAAGTGTTGGGTTTTCTTAGTTATTTTTTGTAGGGTCTTAAACCTACAATGTGAAGTTGGCACCTTACAAATAAACTGAATTGTAATAAATATAATATCAAGCCCCACACTTCTGCCTTTATATAAACTTTGTCCAAAATACTGGCTCACACCACCAAATCAATGCACAAAGCAGGGTCCACAAGGACATGGATGAGCGTGTGTGGTGTGAAGGAACTTGACTGACCTGCACTGAACCCTGATCTTGCTTTGTGGACTGAGTTCATTGATTTGTAGGGTGAGCCAATACATGTGACAATTAAAGTGTAAGTAGTGAAGTCCAAGGTCAGTGAGAAGTACTGAGTGATGCAACTCGAGCACAAAGTACAATTCAGAATCATTAACAAGTATAACAGCTATCTTCCCAAAAACCAAGCCATCATCAGTGTCATCTACAATGGAAACATAGCCTTCGACATACTTGGTACCTTTGTAGACAACTGCTGACACATCCAAAGTGGTCTGATTAGTGCAGCCTGCTTTTGCCACAGCTTCTTGAATGACAGTTCTTTGAACTGTAGGTGGAAACAGTTGGCTCACTGAGAGGTAGGACTGCAGTAACTGATGCCGTTCTGTCACAGTCTTGCATAAGTTGACAAACTTGTGCACTGTTTTTGTACATGCTTTGAAATATGAGTGCTTGCTCTCAAATCTAAGGGTCCACAAACAAATGAGTGGTCCAAAGTGAAGGATAAGCTCTGCATAATGTAACAAATAGTGATGTTTAGCTTTTAAAGCGTTGTCAGGAAACCTACTGTGTCGCAGATGTATATAGTCCTCTATCAGTATCTTTAGGTAGGCAATGTCATTGTGACTTATTTTGGGGGAACATACAAGATCAACAATGTCTCTAAGTTTAAGGCATAACTACCAAACCTCACTATCCACAGGATGTTTTATCTTTCCACCAATGTACAGAGGCAGAAGTCGCAGAAGACACCAGTTCTGTGCTGCTGAACTCCCCCAGCCTCTGCCCTGTTTTCACCCCACATGGCTTACTTAAAGCATCACTTCCTACGTGTTTGAACTGTACAATTGCTCTGTTTAACTGGCAGAGGTGGGACCAAGTCATTGTTTTGCAAGTCTCAAGTAAGTCTCAAGTCTTTATCCTCAAGTCTCAAGTCAAGTCTCAAGTAATGTCAGGCAAGTCAGAGTCGAGTCTCAAGTCACTGGTGTAAAAGTCCAAGTAAAGTCACAAGTCTGAAACTTTGAATTTCAAGTCCTTTCGAGTCTTTAAAAAAAAACAAACGAAAAAATAATGTTGCAGTTATATGCTAAATGTAAATATTAGACCATGTAATTTTAAAATCTGTGTTTTTCTCAACACATGACAAAATAGTGAACTTAGAAAATATACACAAATTGTGAAATTGCACCTCTTTAAAATGCAGCTCAATTAAACCTAGCTCCAAGAATAATTTTCACCGACAGTTCTGAGATAAGCTGCATGTTATTCTTGGATGCGGTTGTAGGACCAGCTTTAAAATCGCATGACAAAAATATCATACACATTAAAAAGAACTGCATCACCAACGTAGCCTGGACAACATTTGCTAGTTAGATGAAGTCAGCTATCTCATCTTAGCATATTTATATGCATATTTATAATTATACGGTTCTTGGAGTGAGTGCATACACTCATGAAGTTTAGTAACTTCAGGTCACTGCAACAAGCCCAGGTACAGTTTACCGACGGATGGGTGCAGGACCTTGAAATGCACCGTGTAGAACGAAAGACCATCGTACGTATCATAAGTTTACCAGTCTCACAAATTGTCTTCATAAATACACATTCGTTAACCGTTTATTAATATAACCTTTGAGCTCAACGGTAATTAATTAGTAGTGGAAATAATTTCTGGTAGCATCACAGAAATGTAGCAGTGACAATAATATTGTATGCTGTAATCGTACTGGGCAATTAGTGATACAAAAAACCTGTTTTATCCTGTGAATAAAAGTATGTGTTTTTGTCAGTGTACCATAATAACAGAAGCGAAACGCAATATTGTATCAGGATAATTTACTATTTATGCACAATAAATAAAGGAGCATAGCGCGACCATTTCTGTTCAGCGCCAGACTTGCTTGTAACCTATATCACCAATTATGTTAAGAAAAATGACGCATTAACTACAACAGCAGACTGACCTTTGTGTAAATGCTTGGAGCAGACTAACCTGTGAGCTGGAGTGTTCTAGGACGTTATATTTGATCTTTGAATGGCTGCAATCCAGTCGCCTCTTTGTTACTTCGGAAACATGGCTCGAACAATTTCTCTTCCACGACGTAATCCGATAACAACCGATCTCTTTACCCGTCGGCTTCCCGTGGCTGTCATGCGACCGGCTATTGCAGTTAATAATACAACGGCTTCTTGACATTTTTGTGTTTCTTTTTATCGCTGTGTGACTGATTTTAATTGAAAGCCTGCGTGCGCTAGTACCGCTTGCCACGAGTTCCCAGAATCCTTTGCGGTTCTACCCGTGAATGACGTCACATTTTCAATCTCTATATAATATGCATGTTAAATTTTATATTTGGGGTAAAATATCAAGTCTTTTCAAGTAAACCGGTTCAAGTCCAATTCAAGTCCCAAGTCATTGGTGTAAAAGTCCAAGTCAAGTCACAAGTCTTAGAACATTTTTTCAAGTCAAGTCTAAAGTCATAAAATTAATGACTCGAGTCTGACTCGAGTCCAAGTCATGTGACTCGAGTCCACACCTCTGGCATTTATAGTGTGGATGTGTTCAGTGGATGAATGGCTTTTAAACTAGGGCTGCTCAATTAATCGAATTGTAATCACGATTACGATCTGGGCTTTCAACGATCATTAAAAATGACTGAGCCGATTATTAGCCCCTCCCTCGTGCTTTACTCTCGCGCTGCTCCATGTGGCAAATCGAGCGCACCTCTCTGCATTTCGAACACGTGTCACAACAATTAAGAGGACCCGAGGAAAGCTCGGAAAGCTAAGCAGAAGTTATTTGGAGGAGAGTGACTGCCGTTGGTTGAAAAGAGAAGTAAAAAAAAACTTCAGTGGTGTGGAAACATTATGGATTCGCGGAGTCAAACGTGGATCAAGTAGACATAGTGTGTAAACTTTGCTACGGTGTCGTAACTGCACCACAGAGCAACACTGCAAAGTTCACGAAACATAGATGTTTACATTTTTCATTTATTTTTTTTATATTGCAAACATTTGCATTGTTATCAGTATTTGCACACTATTTTATATTATTTTTTAAAGTCATTATTATAGAACCGCGTAAGCTAGCGCAATAATTTGTTTTGCATATGAAACCAGAGGAGTTGAACTTACATCTTATGCCATCAGCTTGTCCTAGGTCACAGTTTCCTTCCACATAAAGCTTTGTAAAAATTGCATAAAAGGCACTTGCAGCAACAAAAACATAATATTCCAGAAACACGCTTTGGCGATCCGATCAGCTGTTCGTAACACTTCCCACATTGAAAAACACGTCAACGCGAACTTTCGCATGTCCGCCATTTCCTGTCCGAAACCGGAAGTGACCTCATATTCGCGGAAAATGTAGTTTTTTACTTGTAGGCCTTAAAAGCCTATACTGGTGTTTTTATAAGTCATGTTTGACTCTATACTTTTCTGAACAGTTTCTGGAATGCTTAGAAATCGAATTGCACTGCTGGAAATAGTTTATTTTGATGCACATGCTGTTTTCTTTGCAAATTTGCATCATTGCTGTATCTCCAAAATAAAACTATGAAGACACTCAAAATAAATTTCCTGTGGTGGGAAACTATTTTGTACAACTTTTTTGTATTTAAAGTTTTGAGGGATAAGCCTCTTAAATTTCCCCAAGTAGAAATATATATGTAAAAAAAAACAAAAACTATTTTCAATTTTTTTGTAGTTTATTGCACTTTTTTGCAATTAATGTAATTACTATGGACTTAATGCATACAGATTATTAAAATATGGGCTATAACAGTTGTATTGATGTATAGCAACTTAAATGCTCCCACAATTGGCACTACAACATGTAAAAAAATATATATATATAAGCTCTGGCGGACTTGGTTCTATGGTAGGTCTTAAAGGGTTAAATAAATATCGTCAAATAATCGAGATCTCAATTTCAGTGAAAATAATCGTGATTATCATTTTTGCCATAATCGAGCAGCCCTATTTTAAACAGTACATTTACATAATGACTGAAGCTTCAGTCATTATGTAAATGTGAAAATGCTACATCCAGATGAACAGAATCAACTTTTTGGGAATCTTCTTGCCTGGAAGGCTGAGGATGTGTGAAGACTTTTTGGTGAATATGCTATAAGATCAGGTCAGCAATATGAGAATTCTTTGGCAGGATTGTTGAATGATTTTCTTACCAGTTACATTTTTTTTTCAGGTCTATGATTTCTTCCTCATAGTACTTTTTGCTGACTTAATCTTATGAGTTTTGTCTGTGCCATAGCTAAATATTCTATTTCAAGTAGAGTTGGTTTCATTGGTGACATGAAGTCCTTCATGAGATGTGTGAGAGAGAAATTCTATTTCTCCAGACTATTCCCATATTGAACAACTGTAAAACCATCCAAATACCATTTTCAGTGTCCATCATTCACAATAATAAATTTGTTGATTGGATCAACATTTTCTTCTGTGCTGCTTGTGTTGAGTGTAACACATTTTACTGCATTTCTTCATTTCAGAGTCACATTCAAACAGGTTTTTGAATTGCTCTTTGTCTGGGCTTGCACCCAGCATCAATTTGCCATGCGAGACCCTACCATGGGGCAAAACGCCCCCCAACAATATAGGCCCTGGGATCCCTGGGACACATAAACCTCTCCACCATGATAAGGTAGCAATTCACAGATTTTACATCCCTATTTCTTTTTTATATCTGTCTTATTTAGAACTAGTATGGAGGGGATCAGTGACCGTCTGTTCAGGCATAAGAACTTCAACTTTGTGACCAGTCTTACAACTCCAGAGTACCTAGACTCCCTTGAAAGCTTTGAAATAAAAGACAGCGATGTCTTCCTTGTGACTTATCCAAAGTCAGGTTGGTGAAAAATTTCACACATTGTTGGTATTTGCTGTTTTGTGCTGGCCAGACTGATCCACTGATCACCTCTAATGTCTTTCCCCACATCAGGTACTGTATGGGTTCAGCAGATCATGATTTCCATCCACGAAATGCATAGCTATCAGACTAAATATTCAACCAACATTGAGAGGATGCCGTGGCTGGAGTACAAGACAGCTGAATACGCTCTTCTTCCCTCTCCACGGCTCTTCGCCTCGCATCTCCCTGTACACATCATGCCTCCAGGAGTGAAGGAGAAGAAGCCAAAAGTCAGTACTTTATAGAAGTTGAAATCTTATTGAAGAAAGAGACAGTCTTGAAGTTTGAGAAAGTTAAAAGCATTTGATTACTTATTGTTGCAAAAATAAAGCAAATTAAATTTGTACTTGTGAAGATTAATTTAATTTTTTGTGATGTTACCTATTGGTCACTGAAGTTCAGTTTTTGAGGCTTGCACTTTGACTACTGGTAGCTTTTAGAAACCAGGAAATCCTAGCAAATGAAAATAGAGTGGTTGATCTTCAAAACAAATGTTGTTTTATGTTCTGCAAGAATTAAAACAATGATCCTCTGGGGTCATAAATCGAGGAATATGAGGGTCATTTTTAATCATACACTTCTACACAAACACATGGTCCCAGGTCCAAAAAGCTAGCACTAGCATTTGTTTTATTTTTAATGATTCTGTTTGATTTCAGATAGAGGAGATAGATAGAGGAAGAGAATCTAGCTGTCATGGTTCTGGGTCGGTGACCCAGCGCTTTGAGTTTATTATTATAATTTTTTTCTAGTTTATTCTGATTTTGTATTAGTTCTTTGGGTTTGGTTGTCATGTTTATTATCCCAACCTGTGTCTCCCTCTGTGCTCTGCTCGGGTCCCCGAGTTTTGTGTTGTAAAGCAGTCTGTGTGTTTCCTGTTCTACTTTGTACGTCTGTGTCTCGTTATGCCCATTAGTTCCAGCTGTGTCCCCTCCTGTGTGCCATTTCCTGATTACCTGGTGTGTGTATTTATAGTATGTGTCTGCCTGTGCTCCTCGTCGTGTCCTCTGTGTTTCTCTGTGAAGCTTCTGCGTTACTCTGCATTCTTTTGGTGTTTTTTCCGTGTCTCTCTTCCCCTCGCCTCATGTCCTCCCTTTGTGTTAGTTTTCCCAGTTTAGGTTTATGTTCTGTTCTGCCCTCACCTTGGTTTTCTCTCTGTAAATAAATCTCCACTTGCATCTCCACTTCTATCTGCATCTTGGGTCCTCATTCATTCCACCACACAACTGCTGCCCCAGCCGTGACACTAGCATCCCAAGTGCCAACTTGCTTGAGTAACGTAGCGGACCGTATGTCAGGTGGCAAGAAAACTGCTAGAAGGTTGTCAGCATTCGGCTTCACGGAAGCTCAAATACAGACTTTAAAATGAATTTATAAAAATATTATCTGAAATCAAATTGTAACATTAAATTTTAAATTGCTTTTCTTTTAAACTAATGACATTAAATAGTGAATTATTACATTTTTAAAAAAATGTTTATTAAGATTTAAGATTTCAATTTAGTTTTTTTTTGTGAATTATTACATTTAAGTGACAGACTTTTAATATTCAAATTTTTTTTTAAATATATTTCAGATCGTGTATTTGATGAGGAATCCAAAGGACAACATGGTGTCTTTTTATCACTTCAGCAGTGCTCTAGCAGACCTGGAGACTCCCGAGAGTTTTGACCAGTTTTTTGAGTGGTACATAACAGGAAACGGTAAGTTTCCTCACCTTTAATCCCCATAATGGTATATCAATTACTGATTACTATAAAGTAATATTTTAACTTGTATGTATGTATGTATGTACAATATATATATATATATATATATATATATATATATATATATATATATATATATATTAGGGGTGCAACGATATTCGTATCGATATTGAACCGTTCGATACAGTGCTTTCGGTTCGGTAGGCATATGTATCGAACAATACAACATTTGTAATTTATTTTATCAACTTTCCTTCTGACGATGCTGTCTGTGTTGAGCGCTAAGTGAATCTGCGTTCGACTACTCCGCCTAGGCTGCACTGTCGAGCGCAGATCCACTGAGCGCTCAACACAGACAGCATCGTCAGAAGGAATAGTGCAGGGCAAGCTAGCAAGACAGAAGTTAAGCTCTCCTTGCAACATAGACCTCCCCCACCCTTCAGATCTGGTGTTTGGAATTATTTTGGTTTTCATGTGACGTATGACCCTGAAGGTAAGCGCGTCATGGACTAAAGTAAAACAGTATGTTGGATGTGCCATGCAATGCTCAACTACATGGGTGGGAACTAGTGTGTTAGCGCAGTTAGCTCGTTAACGTGTTGGCCGTCTAGCCCCATGCACGGGACTATCAGGGGTAGCTCGTTAACGGAGATTTGCCGTGTTGTGGCGTTAAGGTCACTTCAACGAGATTAACCTGAAAGCTCTAGTGGGAACACAACGAATATGACTGCACATTTACGCCGACATCATCCTAGTGCAAAGACAAGTGGAAGCAGACAAAAACAAGCAAGCATGCTACTAACTTTAGCCGAGTCATTTAGACAGCCGTTAGCACATGATTCTCCTTATGGGGACCTCATGTGTTTAATATGCTGCTGAGAAGCGGATAGTATAGCTTTTATTTTGGAAAGAGACATTTCTCTGTAATAAACTCTCTTTTCCAAAGATGAGTGATTACTCAATCAGATACAGGGCTTGCAAAATCGCTAGCCCGACGTCCCGGGGCTAGCGATTTTTCCAGTCGGGCTACCAAAATCTTTCTCTGCCCTGCCCGTCGGGCTATTGTAGGAAGGAAAAATATATGTCAATGCTTTTGCATTCTTTCAGAAATGTAGCTGGGTAATTATGTCATTGGCATCGGTGAGCCACTGTCAATATGTGACATATTGAAATCGCGTTTGAATTTGCGCTTGTTTTTTTGCTTTCACTTTGCAATCGTGCGAACTGTGTATAGAGAGCTACAGCACTGATCTGTGAGTGATGATAATTTGTGCACCAATTCCTCTGACATCGTCTTATTAATCGTTAGCTTACTATGCAAACATGACAAGTGAAATCTCCCGCAGCTTAAACATATGAGAGGTTGATCGCGCAGAGAATCGCTGAGCTTATGTGAGTGTGTGTGTAAAAGCAGCAGGATAAGACAGGTCAGGGTGAAGAAGTGACAGCCAAAAAAAAGCTTACCACAAAACGGAGAAGTTATGACAAATCAGACTATAAGGCAAAAAGAAAGTGCAGCTTTATGGTTTCATGGACAAAATAATTTCTGTGGCTGCGATATGATGAGCTAAATAACCAGGGGTGCACATAAGTGGTCCGCAGGTGCGCATTCGCTGTCAAAATAAAAAACACGCATAAGGGTTAGGGTTAAATTTAAAAACTGTACTTTTGAGTTAAAATATATATTTATAATTTTAATAAATGACAAATTAAAAAGGCATGAACATTTTTTGTATCGAAAAAATATCGAACCGTGAATTTTGTGTATCGTTGCACCCCTAATATATATATATATATATATATATATATATATCATTCTTAGTTCCTTAACTGTGCACTACAAGGTGACCAGATCTTGCAGACTTTAGAAACCTGTTGGAGTAAATAGGCCATTTAATTATTCCTAACCAGGCATATAATGTAAAGTCATTTCTGCATCTTTTATATACATTCTGGAAAAAGTACATTGTACAATATCTAGGACCGGTTGTTGATTTCAATAAAATATTGTTGCATGTCAGCAGGGGTGGTCCTAGCCTGTTTGGTGCCCTGGGCGAACACGCCAACAAACTAAGGCTGTCAACGATCACGATTAACGCAATTAAAATTTTTAACGCAATCAACAAACTTTGGACAAATTGCCCGAAATGTGTCACTTTACAAACGGTGCCCCATAAGTAGGCATGATTAATGGGCAAAAGAGTGTATGTTCTGATGTTTTTGTTGATCTAGTGTTTTAGAAACTTGTCCAAGTCTAAAACCACACAAAAGATACTGTCAAACTGTCCCATGGCCAGGGGTGGATCTAGAGAACTTTTATGAGGGTGGCTTGGAAATCAAAATCATTTCTGTGGCTGCGATATGACGAGCTAAATAACCAGGGCTGCACATAAGTGGTCCGCAGGTGCGCATTCGCTGTCAAAATAAAAAACACGCACAAGGGTTAGGGTTAAATTTAAAAACTGTACTTTTCAGTTAAAATATATATTTATAATTTGAATAAATGACAAATTAAAAATGTATCGAAAAAATATCGAACCGTGACACCAAAGTATCGAACCGAACCATGAATTTTGTGGATCGTTGCATCCCTAATAAATAAATAAATAAATAAATAAATATATATATATATATATATATATATATATATATATATATATATATATATATATATATATGTATATATATATACATATATATATCGGACTGGAGAAGTGTAGTCGGATGGTAACAAAGAGAGGGAAGGTAGTCAGAACTGAGGGGATTGAACTACCAGAAGGCAACATTGCAGACATAGAGGACAGTTACAAGTACTTGGGGATCCCGCAGGCGAATGGGAACCATGAAGAGGCCGCTAGAAAAGCTGCAACCACCAAGTACCTGCAGAGGGTCAGGCAAGTCCTGAGGAGTCAGCTGAATGGTAAGAACAAGATCCGGGCCATCAACACGTACGCCCTGCCCGTGATCAGGTACCCTGCTGGGGTAATAGGCTGGCCAAAGGAGGAGATAGAAGCCACTGACATAAAGACAAGAAAGCTCCTTACCATGCATGGAGGGTTTCACCCCAAGTCCAGCACCCTGAGGCTGTACGCTAAGCAGAAGGAAGGGGGCCGGGGACTGGTGAGTGTCAGCACCACAGTCCAGGATGAGACAACGAACATCCAAGAATACATTGGGAAGATGGCCCCAACTGACCGAGTGCTCAGTGAATACCTCAGGCAGCAGAAACCCAAGAAAGAGGAGGGAGACGAGGAACCATCATGGAAGGACAGGCCCCTGCACGGTATGTACCACCGGCAGATAGAGGAGGTGGCTGATATCCAGAAATCCTACCAGTGGCTGGACAAAGCTGGACTGAAAGACAGCACAGAGGCACTAATCA